AGGAGGTTTCCTCTGAACATGAAGAAGTACTTTTTTAAAAAAAAACAAAAACAAAACACCCCAACCTGTGAGGATGACTGAACACTGCCATGTGTTAAGTACTTTTTAAAAAAAACCAAAAAACAAAAAAACCCCCAACCTGTGAGGATGACTGAACGCTGTCATGTGTTCCCCATAGAGATTTTGGAGTCTCTCTTCTTGGAGATATTAAAAAGCTGTCTGGGCATGGCCCTGGGCAGTCTGCTGTAGGTGCCCCTGCTTGAACAGAGGGGTTAGATGAGATGACCTCCAGAGGTGCCTTCTGATAGAAAGTACAACTAAAGTTGTGAAACCTATATATTTCCTCTATAAAACCTCTATAGAAAGAAGGATGTAAATACATTGCTCAAATCTAAGCAAATGGATTATGTTTTTGTAATTGATGGTTTGTATTTTCTACAGAGCCTCTAAAGAAGACTTCCAAAAAGTAAGTTGCAGTGTCTCAGTTCAGGATCCTATAGGTTCATTAATATATGCCAGTACTGGAAGGAGTGCCATAGAATCATAGAATGGTTTGGGTTGGAAGAAACCTTAAAGATCATCTAGTTCCAACCCCCCTGCCATCAGCAGGGACACCTTCCACTAGACCAGGTTGCATGTGCCTTTAAAATGCTGCTGCTAGAAACCTTCCCAAGGCAGGAGGGGGAGAGAAAAGAAAAAAAAAAAAAAACTGTTTTGCTGTTAACAACACAAGTTTTCAGCAAGAAGAATAATCAAAAGTTTCAGTGCTTCTCTGTAGAGCCACCATATTTGTGATTTTGCCAGAATTAGTTTTTTGTTCTCCCCACAGAGAAACAAGAATATTTTATTTTTAAGCTGGAAGATTGGAAAATGTGTATTGAATTGAAATGTACACTGAAGGATGGGAAGAATACTTTTGCACAGGGGGGAAAAAAATTCTTCCAGCTCTCATTTGTATTGCTATTGTACACATCACTGAAATTCCTGAGGCATTTAATTGCAAGATTTGAGTACGTAGTATCAATACTGCAGTAAAACACATTCTTCTGCAAGTGGGAAACTAAAAGCAATGGCTTCTAATTTAATGCAAGATTATAACTGCAACTAAAGAATAAGGAAGAAAAAAGTCTAAACTTCACTGGGAGCTGTCACTAAAACCTGCAGTGAGGTGTCAGAACACAGGAGAAATGTAGGAACTGACATACTGGTGTAACCTTGTGCTCTGTTTAATCTCACGTTCACATCTCAAAGGCTATCTACCTTAACACGAAGGTTGTCTACCTTACCATGCAATACAGCACAAGAGGAACAGATCAGTAGATAGAGCTGAGGCTTCCGTGTCTCCTTTGTGTGTGGTTCACGTGCTATGCTTCAGATTAGATATAGCCTGAGTTCCTGGGCTGAACGTCTCCATTACACGTGTGTGTTAAAAGGTGTTTTGTTGTGGCTTGTTTTTTTGTTTTTTTTTTTGAAGAGAAGTCTCTCTGCTTCCTGGCTGATGAGAGCCACAAACACACTGCACACCGAGGAGCAGACTGAGTGGGACAGGGATACCGTGCCTTAAACAGTCAAGCATTCTCCAATATATGAGCTAATATGAAAACAAGAAAAAAATTCCCCCAGGTTCTTTGTGCCACCCATTTCCCCTTCCTTGCTTGAGAGGGATGAGGGTCTCTTGTTCCTCAGCAGCACCTCTGGAAGGCTGTCTTGCTTCACCCACTCTCTCCCAGAGGCACCTGGTCTGCTCTCCCTCTTGGGAAGGCATCGTTACCCTGATCATGCCTTTCCTGACATTGCATGCCATTTTTTGACCTTTCCTGAGCTTGTGGCTTTGTCTTCTCCTGCCACACGTCCCAAAGAAATCACCTCCACACATTTCCTGGATTGAGGTTTCTGCCCTTACAGGCATTGCCAAGATTGGTTTTACTCTGGCAAACATAACACCCTGGAGCTGCAGGCAAAGATCAGGAAAGGGAGTGTGCTTGTTTGGAGAGGTAGCAAAGAACTGGCAGAACAGGTAGGCTGAAGAGCTGGCTTGCTGCCAGGAAGCTGGTTGTAGAGGGAAGCCAGATAGTGCTTTAAGAGGAGCAGTTGTGGGTGCGGGGGGAACCTTGGTAAGGATTAGGATGGCTGAGTTGGAGCCAGCTGATCAAGCTCTGGAGGATGGAAAAGCCCTACTCTCCCTCGGGTAACACAAGACTATCTGCTGCCACCTCCTCCTCCTGTGTTTTCAGCTTTCAGCAGTGATGACATATTTCTTACCCTTTTGGATGAAAGTCTGATGGCCTGTTAATGCTTCTTGGCCCACATTCCATCTCTCATTCACATCTCCACTCTTACAAAGCACACATAAAGGTGTTTAACTGTATGGAAAAGCCAAGAATTGGAATGGGAGATGTGCCTGTAGTGGAGCAAAAATGGGATAGCAAGAACTGTTGGAACAAGAGAACTGTGTTTGCTGGGCAGGTCAGTGTGGCTCAGAGCTTAGAAAATGACAATCAAGGCAGGGGATGAGAGAAGCAAAGTGGAATAATAAACAGGAGTAGTGTGAAGGGAGATTGTGATGCCACTGTGACCATTGTGGCCTCCCAGTGGCCATTGTGGCCTGCTGCAGGTGAACATCATCGTTAGCAGAGCAACCAGCATGACCTAAGCAGGTGGGCTGGTGGAACAACTGCAGATGTGTTCTTGGAAATGGGAAGATTATTAAAATTATTAAAATTATTCAAAAGATTTCTTACTACATTCACCGTGTTGGTGTCTGCATGCACATAGATAAATGTGCTTCGTGCAGGTGCTGCTGGTTGAGGGAGAGACTTAAATTCCTTTGTGGTTTCTGGAGAACTTCCATTGGTTTCACTGAAAATGCTGCCTTGAGGAGCTACTACAGTGTGGGTATATCTGGATTAATTAGTGCTCTGAATACCTGACTATTAGCATTTGTTTGGCTGGAAAAGCCAAACAAATTAGCCTTGGAGGAGAAATGGGTTTGAGCTGTGTTTTAGTTTGGGCTGGCACCAAAGCTAATTTCTTTTCAATTCAGATATAACCAAGAGCACTCACTCGGGCATCGAGTCTCCTTAGTATTTCTTCTGTTAGTCTTTTTTTCTAACCAAAAACACACCAATGGGAAAGAACCAGGATGCTTTTAGACCTATACAAGAAGTCTGAGATGTACATAAGGGAAGCGCAGAGATGGTGAGGATGAAGCAGTAGTGGCAAGAGCTTGGTTGCTGGGATTCATGCACTTGGTCTAGGCTTACCTGAATAATTAGTTCTGCTTGCCCTTCTCCCAGACTTCCTGTGTGCTGTAAGATGTATCACGTATGAGCTAATTGAAAAGTGTGCTGTTTGGTTCTGTGCTATTTTTGCCTGGGTTACATGGCTTTTTCTTTTTTTCTTTTTTCTATTTGGTTTTTTTTTTGGCAAGCCAGTAATAGGTATATACTTCCATTTATAAGATTCTTTCTTTCAGAATAAGGTTGTCCTAAAGTGATGTATTGGAAGTTTACCCTGGTGGTTTTATCCTGTCTAAGTGGAGACTGAGTGTAGAAAGACATTTCACTTTTCCTCATGTCAAGAGTTTCAGTACATGATTTGTTTTGAGTTTAGACTGTAGTAAATTAAAGATGTCTGCAACTTGACAGAGGCATATGAAAACCAGCAGCTTCTAGATGTATGCAAGAGTTAGGGTGGCATGCTGATAGATATCTGGACTGCAGAATATATCTTGGGAAAAAAAAAACCAAACCAAAATACATAGTTTTGTTTTCAAATACTGTTGTTGAGGTAAGAACAGAAAAGTGGTGTGTCCTTGAAAGCAGCATCTGTATTAAGTCTATTGAATCAAATAGGTTTCACTCTTGTGTGACAGCATCTCTTGTATAACAGACCTTCTAAAGCTTGAGGAATGCTATATCTCTGTTGGCAGTTTAAATTAATCTTAGTGTATTACAAAAATAAAAAAATCATTATCTTGTTCTCATGCTAGGAAGCTTGTTACAAAATATTTGGCTAGATGTAATATAAAGAAGCCTCAGTTGACTTTTCTGGATGTTAATCAGGTAAGCTTTAAGATTTATGATAGAACTTGGAAGTCTTCATTGTGTAAAAACGAGTCTCCTTTGGTGCTTTGAGTAGTACCTGAAGCAGTTGGTTCTCATGTGGTAAGGAAAAAAAGCAGCTCTGTGGATCAGTTTAGGAGACAGCTGGTTTTGCTATAGATCCCCCTCCCCACCTCGCCAATCTTGGTGACTTTAACTAAATACTGTTAAAGACCAAAGTTGTTAGCTTATCTATCTATTTGGAAGCTTGTTTATTCATTGTGGAGAAGGTTTTGGAGCTTATTGTTATGTAGTTTGTCCTCTCATGTAGAATCTGGACTGGATCTTTGGCCTGTGGATCTGTGTATCTACATGATTTGAACCGGAAGAGGTTTTTGATCTAGTGGTTTAAAGTGTGTTTTACAGGTGTGCCTGCTAGTGTGATAGTGAAGATAACTGACCAGGGTTGAAAACCTCTTCATGAAGAAGGCTGGGAATCTTAAGGCAGGGGAGAGAGAAAGAAAATAACACTATGTAAACATGCTACTGAAAGCTGGGTTATAATTCATGCAGCCAACAGGGGACAGAGCTAACCCCACATTGATTATTTATATCCTGTTATTTTTCTAATACTCAAATGTTTCATTTCCAAACTCTGAAGCTCTTGTCAGGCAGAGTGTGGCAGGAGAGGAAGACTTTAACTCCACCTTCGCCTTGGTCTAGGCTACAGTGCATATTGGAAAAGCCTCACAGGTGAGGCAGGGGAATATTTCCAGAATACAAGGACGCTTTATCCATGCAGCCACACTGGGAAAGAAGTCTTAGAAAAGCTGTTCTAGCATTGTGCTCCCTGAGGAATGGAGCTATCGTATTTGAGGGCTAATGTTAGTCCAGGGTCTCTAGATTTTACTTTTTCTGACATAATTACTCATTGATTCTACTTGCTGTTTGCAACAGGAAGGGGAAAATATTTTCTATCTGGCTGTGGAAGATATTGACACAGACACAGAACTTCTGATTGGGTACTTGGACAGTGACATGGAGGAAGAGGAAGAGGAGGAGGAGGAAGTAACTGTTATCCACGAAGACGAAGATAGTGGCAACAATAAAGAAGTGCAACCAACTGGTGAAAAAATTGCAGGTGAACAAGATGTAAAAAATAGGATAACTTGAAAGCTTTAAAGTAGTAACAAAAAAGAAAGAACACTAACTGTGTAAAGGACTGGGGAACTGGGGGGCTCCCCAGGTGTAGTCTGAGCTCTTGTATGATTGTGGTATCTTCGCTTGGGTTGAGGTTCTTTTCTTTGCCTAATAAGCGGCAAGTCCTGTAAATAATTTGCCTAATAAGCCAGTCCTGTAAATACTGAGTGAATGAATGAGCCTAGATTTCAGGAGAAGTCACTGTTAATTTTTGAACTAAAGATGGAGTTAATGTCACATGACATACAGTCTTCTTAAAGCTAAGTTTTTGCTCTGAGAGGGGTAGTTTCCCTCTTACTTAGAATGGAGAGAAATAAACATCAGGATTGGCTGAACAGTTTTATGAAAAGGTAAGATGTCTAAGAAAAGGTAGGTGACCTGAGCTGTCTGGTGAATTCTCAGTATCATTATCAAAGTAGAGATGACCTGGACAACTAATTTAGGCTAACAACCTAAGTCACACCCAACTTAATACTTTGCATCCCTTTTCAATAATGCTGATGGTAATGCACTCAAGATAGGCTGGCTGTAATCCATTCAGAGATGTCTTTTGTGAATTTTGTGGTGCCATTTTGCAAAATCTGTTTCTGGCAGAGTGTCTCTTTTAATACAACCAAAATGTTATCTGAAAACTATTCCCTTACTGTTCTTTGCCTCCAATCAGATCCACTCACCTGTAAAGAGGATCATGCATGCCCAAACTGTGAATCCAGTTTTGCCAGCCAGGAGATTCTAGCTGAGCATCTTCAGACTTTGCACCAAAAACCCAGTGAGGAAAAGGAATTTAAGTGCCGAAACTGTGGAAAGAAATTCCCTGTTAAACAAGCTCTACAGAGACAGTGAGTAGAAACAGGAGTGTTTTTTCAGGAATCATTTAAATCAGTTTCATTCAATCTTTTATTTCTGTTGGCTTAATCACAATTTAAGTTTTAATTTTTATGCTTATGTATTTGTACCCTTACCTTTACATTAGTCTTTTAATATGTTATTTTCTTACATTTGTTGGAGACTTCAATTTGAATTGTAAAAATGTCACAATCTTTTTATGTTTTAAAATCATACATTGTAGACCAGATCAGAGCTGCTGTTTGGTGCAAAACTGCTGGTCTCCATCAGTGGACTACTTAGTAGTTTGGGAGATGTAATTTTTCAGCCATGGATCTAGTTTCAGAACTAAAGTAAGATTTGGAAGTAGGTAAATGTTGATCTAGAAGTACAAAAAAAAAAAAAAAGAAGAAAAACAATAAAACAATGCTTCATGTTTGCTTAATTAAATATTTCGGTGATGGGAAAAAAAAAAAACAACAAGTAGAAACGTGAAAGGCATGAGATTTAAGAGCACATCGGCACATCATTACTCTCCTTGACAGTGTTAATACACAGTTTTGTCACTGAAGTCATATACCTTACGATTATACTTTTGTACAAAAGTATAACTGTTTTTGGCTTTTGTTGTTTATTTTTTTGCTTGCAATTAAATAAAAATATCACTTTTTATTATACACTTAATTACAGATAGTACATGAGATGCTGAAGTGATTATAGATAGTACATTTAATCCAACTCTTGTATTGGAAAGAGACTTGTATTGCATAGAATGCACTTAAGGCTATTTTGTAATACATTGATCTTTCTTACATCTGAATAATGTGAATATTCCTAGAACTGGCAGCTCTAGATGAACTCTGTTATTTCATGGAAAGAAATAAAATTACATAGCAGAGAAATATTTGGTGAAGGCAATTAAATATTTTTCTCTTGAACTTAGACTTGTTGCTTTTAGTCTGTAGTAGAAGTTGGATTTGTACTGTATAGCTAGTTAAGTAAATTTTTACATCGTGCAAAGTAAGATTAATCTATATGAGGATACAGCGGTATGATCCTGACTCTTGCTGTTTGTGTATTTGATTAGTCCCACTAAATTCCAGGAGACTTCACATATGAGATAGATTACTTGCCTACTTAAAGATTTGTAAAGCTATATATGTTTTTTAGCTACTGCAAGTCTGTGTAAGTTCTAGAATGTTCCCCTTATTTTGTGGTTTTAATTTTTTATTTGTTTGTTTGTTTGTTTTTATTTAGTGTACTTCAGTGCACAGAAAATATCAGCCCAGGAGATTCTTCCAGAAGTTTTCAGTGCTCTGTTTGCAATACGTCCTTCAGCTCAGAATCGAGGTTTTGTGTCCGAGTTACCGGACTGCTGTCATATCATTGCTGGCCTCCCTTTGCATGTTAGCTTTCAAGCTTCTTAGTTTATGTGAATCCTAACAGTGAAAGAAGTCAAATGCTTTCCTTCCTCTTTGCTGTAAGTAATGCATGAGGTGGCCTTGGAACTCTGCATTGCAGCATGTGTTCAGCTCAGAGTACTTGCTACATGTCTGGTTTCTGTAGGTACTGCTTTATGTCTTGCTTTTCTTTTTTCTTTTTTTTTTTTACTGGTCATCCCATGTAGTTATGAGCAGCACAAGGAGGCGTGCAGAGGGGATGCCAGATTCGTATGCAAGGCAGATAGCTGCGGAAAGAGGTTCAAGAGTAAGGATGCCCTGAAAAAACATAAAGAAAATGTTCACAGTGGTAAGAAAGAGTTTAATGTTTCTTTGGGGGGAAAAAAAAGCAATGTTCCTAGCCTTAAATTTGCAAATCAGAGTAAACATTATCTTTGGTTTCTTTTTTAATGGATTCATTTGTATCAAAAAGAAAATTAAGAAGTAAATAATTGCAAGAGTAACTGCTCCTCCTCCCCCTGGGGAGAAATTACTGTATAGCAGATGAATCATTAGTCTACTGCAGAAGATGTAGTAGGAATCTGGGGAAATTCAAACTAGGCAAACAATAGATAAAGCAAAACATTTCAGTAGTGAGGAAAATCAACCCCTGGCACAAATAGCTACAGGAAGTGGCCAGTTCTTGATCTTTTGGTATTTTCAGGATACAATGAGATGTCTTTCTGGAAGACATGCTTCACAAACGATTAGGCTTGATGAGGGTATTGCATAAAATTCTATAGCCTCTGTTGTGCAGGAAGCCAGACCAGACAATCCACTAGTCCCATTAGACCCTAGTGTTTTTATATCTGTGCACTGTGAATCAATAGTTTTCAATCAAACTTCACTCTGTTTTCATGAAAGGGCAAAATACTGCTCTCAGGTCCACAAAGCAGATCTCAGTTCTGGCATTCTGCTCTCTCTGCATGTCCCTTCTCAATGTCAATGGAAGATCAGTATGTGTGGGGACAGCAGAATACCAAAGTGCAAAGAAAACAGTCTTTAGTTGACGATGACAGCACTGAGATGCTTTGTAAGACTTTCATTACATGAAGTCTCCGTCTTCTGCCAAACTCTTACACTGTGCAGAAACCCTTCTATAACCATTCTTATAAAAGATTATCTCCTTTTTTTAGTATCAGTAAGAATTTTTTTCATCAATGAGCATTGTTATGTTTATGCTTAGCTTTGGTCAGTTATGTAGCGGTATACAAATTCCACAGTTCTCTTGAATGATCACTCCCAACATGACTGAGAGTCAATGCCTGGAGGATATTTTTGCTCTGCCTGCACCATGAGCAGAGCTTTTATTTTACCACTTGGGAGTCGTAGAAATCACAACTGGTGTCAGTGCAGGAAGTAAAATAACCTACTACTGTTGAGGGGCACTTCTAGAATTACTTTCTGCCTTGTGTTACCTGGAGGCAAGGGAAAGTAGAAAAGTTTTTGTGTGTTGCCCTTTATGCAAAGCTATGAATGGATGCTGACTATCACCTTTCTCTCCTCTGAAAAGGTTTCATTAATGCTCTTGTAAGTTGAAGTACTAAGTGTATTGTTGTATTTATGTGTATATCAGTATATTTAAATAGTTATCCTAATTTTTATAACAGCAAATGCATATGTGGATTAAGTACTTCTTTGTACTACAAATTTAAGCATTGAACCAATCAATTGACAGGGTATGTTGTAGGAAAAAGAATCAACATAATATGAATTGTTTAGGACAGCATGAGCAGGAAGGATATAGGATGCTGAGAGTCTGAAAAACTGAGCTGATAGCCACGTAATGAGTTTGTTTATGATCCATACTTCATCTGTGCTTGACTAAGCACTACTCCACTCCTCTTTTGTTCCGTGTCTGTTGTTTTTAGTGTTCAATGTAATAGGAATGTTTTCTACATAAGCTAGGAAATATCTTGCGTGGGCATGTAATTATAAACAAAGAATTAGGTTTGTGGTGGTTTTGTTGTGTAATAAATCAGCTTTTTGGGTTACTAAAATGAACTTCAAAAGGGAAATAATAGATAAACACAATTAAATACTCTGTCACTTTTTAAAGCAACTGTGAAAAGGGAAGGAAAATATATCTGGTAGCTGACCTGTAGCTTGCTTTGTAATTTACATTTTGGACGAGATTTGAATTAATGATCTGCTGCTAATATAATTTCCCTGTCTTGTTCAGTTAAAGACCATTAATGATACATTATTTTATATAGTAGAATGCTTAATGCTTTCTGAATAAAGAAATAATGGGTTTTACTTCGGTTTGGGATCTTTTTTGTCATTGCTGCACAAACTCCTGTATTGACTTTTGGAAGAAATCAGCTGTTCAGTTATCAAGTGAGTTGTTCATAGTTGTGAATTGGGCTCGTCATACTGGATCGGTGATGTGTTCTAACATCTATTTGAAGTGGTTTTTTCTTTATTGTTCTAATTTTCTTGATTTACATTCCATCAGTAACTGGTTTTTTGGACACCCACAGAGAACTGATATGGAATGCTCTGAAGATGGGATACAAATGTAAAAATCTTATGTCAGTCAAATGACCTGTGATAAGTCACAGACTCAGTGGAAATATTTAGATTCTTTCTTAGCACTTCCTTTTTAAGATGTTCGTGGTATTTTGTTTCTGTTTCAGGAAATTCTAGGAAGAAGCTGATGTGTTCAGTGTGCAATAAGAAATGTTCCTCAGCAACAAATCTCCAAGAGCATCGAAAGGTCAGTAAATGAAGGCTAACCCACAGCGGGCTTTGACTTCACTAAGATGTGAGACTGTGGTGGTAAGGTCACTTGAAAGCTGTTGTAATGCAAACCTTTGGGTAATCTCTTTCATGGTTACAAAACCAATGTATTTCATTGTGGATATTTATTTTTGTAATCACAATTTGTTAAACCAAAAATCTTCCTAAGGTTTTAATGCATTTTTTTACCAAATACAGAGATGCTTGTGCTTGTATCATTTACGCATTTCAACATGAAGTAGAAGTTGCTTGCTGTTCTTCAGCATTCTTAAATACTAAGCCAAGTGTAAAAGTATGTCATGTAATAGTAGGATACACACATACCGTAAAATAGTTTCATGAGCCTTCAGTTTACATACAAAATACAATTGATCTTTTGTATTACTTTGTGACATACCAGTAAAGGTGCTTATTTGGAATTTAGTTATGCAGTAGTAAAACAATTTCTTATTCAAAAAGTGATTTTTAGTGTCTTTTTGTTTATGCATGTAATCTTTTATAACCAGAACAGGAGAGGTTAACAGTAGGAAAAGCATCTATTGGAAATAAGGAGGTTCGTATAGAAATACAGATGGACTATTAATATGAGATTCTGAAACCATTACACCCAAAGGAAGTCCCTGCAAGATTAATTTGATAAATCACTAAAACCCCGGAGATTCTGTTTTTACAAAAAGCTACATTGTACTGTTTATCAGATTAACTGTAAGTCTTTAATAATGCCCTGGTTACAATCTGAATCCATTGAGGATATAGATGATATCAATTAAAATATGTTGTTGCAAAGGAAATGGTGGGGCCCTTTTTAATTTGTTTTATTCCTTGCTTGGATTACTATGCCCTGCATTTCTTGTTTTGCAGGGCTATACTTTGTTACTACTCAGACCAAATTGTGGTATGCCTTGCTGTGTGTAGCAGTTTTTACATACCAGTGCACCTTCTGGTTATGAACTCCGTGTGCAATTCCCAACCTGTACAAACAGAGTTATCACAACCTTTCTTCATGCATCTGTTTTTCCAAACTAGTTTTTCTTTTAGTAAGCTTTTTCTGCTGTGGATTCTCACTTTTTCACCTATGTGCTGCTTTAAGTCAGCTGCCCAAACAAGAACACTGATGCTTAGTTGAGCCCTTGGTATTGCCAAGTATACTGGAATGATTGTCCTGAGTTTATTAATATAGAGAATCTGTCTACTAATACATCTCAGAATGACAGTGCTTTCAAACAGCAGCATCAATCTCGTTATTCATATTTTGTTTGAGATTGATTAATGTTTTATGTTGCGGTGCTATGTAAACTGTTGGTCATTGTGTAGCATTTGATTTCTCCTTCCTTAATATTGAGTGCTTTTGAACTTCATTCAGAGTGTGGAAATAATTTTGGATTCTGATCTTGTCTTCCTTAGTGATTACAGTCCTACCCAGAAGAGTCTCATCTACTTTTATTTTTTTATTTTCTGCTTACCATAATACAACCCTCCTCCTGCATGTTGCATGCAAAGCTTTTACAACAGTTATGATATTGATCCAATGATAAGAAGAAAAATTCAAACAAATGCTTTTTGTGGTGATCAGTATCTTTTTGTTTTCCATTCTGTCTACATTCACCTGATCTCTTTTGTCTTTCAATTGTAAAGTGACATCCTTCTGTCTAATATTTATAGTAGTCCATGATTTGGGCTGTGAAGTGATATGGTAGTATTAAAAAAAAAAAAAAAAAATTCCCAGCAAACACTGCTCACAAAATGCTGTACAGGAGCTTACAGAAGACTGGGTAATAGAACAAAAAAGTTTGTTGTAAAATCTCCTTTCTACAGGTTTGTGATGTCTACTGCCAGAGCGAATGAAATACCATCTGAATTATATTCTGATACCAAGTTCTGAAGTTTATGTAAAATGCAAAATACAGTTGTTCAACGATGATAATAGTGAGCAAACAAGTGAGGGGAGTGTTGTCTTCATTGCTGCAGATTCTTTCTAAAGGGTTCCTTTTGTACCTTTGAATATCGTTGTCTCATGTTTTGGATTTGAATTGTTCAGAGGAACTTAAACGTGAGCACATACATGTGAATATATGAGCTCATACATGAGCCTGCCAGGGCTCTCTGGTGAGGCTCTACTCTTCTGTAAGTGGAAAGGGAAGAAAAATTCAAACAAATCCCAGTGTTGCTGCTTTCTTTTCCCAGGATGATGCATTCAGAATTGATAGTGCTATACTTTGAGTACTTATAGGTAGATTGAAGGGGGTGTATGTCTTTCTGGCTGTACAGCTGTGGGGTGAGTTCCTGTCTCTTGTAGGCAGGTGTTTTCAATGGTAAAGTAATCAATCCTCCTGTTAAGAAAGAAGATTGAGGACACCTTTGACTGTAAGGCAGTAAAGCTTTTTTAACTTTGGAAAAGGTCATAAAACAAATGCCTATATGAAGTGCAGGGTTGTGCTTCATTGGCAAGACTAGTTTGTGCTGTTGCCCTTCTGGATTTCTTGGCAGATTTTTTTCCTATGAATCTGTAAGACTCCATGAAGAGGCATGTTGTAGCACAGTCTGCTGGCAAGAGAATGACAGAACTAAGGAGGATCCTATTCATCATTTGTTCTAAGAGATTGAGAGTGTTTTATTTTTTTTTGAAAAATCCTTGATTCTTTCTTAGCTTTCTTCTAGTGTAGAGATGGACTTCCTGCAAATTATGGTGAGGAGAGTCAGTCTTAAACATCATCTGTGATTCCCCCCCCGCCACCCCTGCTGCCTTTTTTCAGTTCCAAGTATCTCTCTGGATTTTTTCCTGCCCTTTTTGTCCAACACTGGGCAGTGTTTTGTTCTGCTGTGCAATCTTTATTTTTCACAATCACTATGAAAGCCATAGAAATGTAGAAGAAACCAAATTTTGAACACCACTTTAAAATTGTCAATAACATTTAATGATTTCAATTGGATGCAACATTCTTATATCCTTGCTTTCTCAAAACACTATCTTCCAACAGACAGTCTCATCTAGTTCTTGGAGTGCTAGATTGAAATTCAAATTAGTTTTTGGTAAAGCTGATCATGGATTATTTGTATCTTCAAATTTTTAGCTCAGTTTCATCCCTAAAACTCTTTTGAAGGACCTTTTGCTTTTTAATAGACCTCATGGAAAAATTTCAGTTTTTAAGTGGAGGAGTGTATTTATCTGAGCATATATTAGTCTTGTTCAAAATAACTTGCTGTTTTGTATAGCACTTACCAAGTCATTATTGGAAGGTTTAGCTCTTCAAATGCCTATGAAGCAATTGTAAGTATGTTCTGACTTTAATGTAACAGAGGTTTACTTTGATAGCTGTTACAGCCCCCTAATGAGACTGATTTTGTTATATGAATAAATCATTGCACGAGTGCTTGCCTGTGGTATTACAGCCTGTATGCTCATAGAGCATGTTACTTAACAAGTGTTCTTAAAATGAAAATCTGTTTGAATATCGTTATTCATAAAAATATTTGCTATATTTCGGTTGTTTTACCATGTAATGATGCACTTTTCTAAAGAATTGATTAAAGAGTGACAGCTATAGAATATATATTTGATAGCTGTAGCTTTCTAATGCTCATGCATGGAAGTTGCTGTTTTGACACAAAGGTCTTAAATGAGACTGTTCATTAAACAACGCTCAGAAGTTGAAACCAGACATTTGTATAGTGTTAAAGCACAGTCTGGGTTCTGGTGTATTAAATATTATGGTTAAGAATAATTTGCAAGTTATTTCAAATAGTTGTGTTGAGGGGGATTCTCATAGCACTTGCTTGCAGAATTTTGTGAACTTCACTCAACAATCTAAGTAAAATTTAGATCTTTTGGGAAAGGGTAGAGTAGTAGATTGTGTGTGCATATAAGAGAAATTAATTCAAAATGCAGCTGGGTAAAAAGAATATTTAGAATGAATGATCATTTGAGCTTCTCACCTGGTTCTGTCTGAGCATTTAATTAAGTGTCACTGTCCAAAGTGTGCAGTTTTGCATAGATTGTAGGAAATGGCATAACTACCTTTTAGTTTATGAAAAGTCTTAGTTGAGCTTCTTTACTGTGCTTTTTGCAAATGTTTTTCATTAGAGTTTTGAACCTTTGATATTTGTTATTTTTAGCTGCTAGATTCTCCTACAGAAAATCTATAGAGTTTTCCGAAAAAGCTTTATGAAATGTGATCTCTACCCAGAAGTTTTGTTGTCTAAGGCTGCAATTCCAAAAAACTGAAGAACTGTGTATGTGATATTTGGGAAGAATAAATAAAACAGGATTTCTTTTCTTTTTTTTTTTAATTGACTATCAGAAGTTGAAGCTTTCAACTACCTCATCTGTTTTTCCAGCATTTAGTTCTTGATGATATTTTATGCTGAGATGTTGAAAATCCTCCTAATGCAGACTGCATTTACATCTGTGGTGGTTTCACCCACCGGTAGGACCATGCAGTCCTGCACTCAGTCCCCCCACCCAGTGAGATGGGAAGGGAATCACAACAAAGGGGTCATGGATTACAATGAGGACAGGGACGGCTCACTCACCAGTTACGGTCACGGGCAAAACAGACTCAACCTGGGGAAGAAAAATCAATTTAATTTGTTACCAGTCATCTGAGTAGGATAGTGAGACAGAACAACCACATCTTGAGAGACCTTCATCACACCCTCCCTTCTTCCTGGGCTGAAATTACTTTGCTCCCAATTTCTCTACCTTCTCCCTCCGCAGTGGCACAGGATACAGGGAATAGGGGTTGCAGTCAGTTCACCATTGCTGCTCTTCCTGGCATGAAGTTCTTCCTGTGGGCTGCAAAGAGTCTGGGAACAAGTGTTCCAACACGGGTATCCCATGGAGTCATGGACCTGGCTCTGGCATGGGGACATCCATGGGCTACAGATGGGCCTCTGGTCCAGCACACCTCCTCACCCCCAAGCTCTGGGGGTCCACCCCTGCTTTGGCATTGAGTGTCTCAGGAGTCTTAATTCAGTCACACCTGCCATTGGGTCTGGCTTTATGCTCCAGTGTGGAGTCCTCCATGGCCTACATGTCCGTATGTGCTTTGACATTGAACTTCCATGGGCTGCAGGGACCTAATTTACCTTCTCCTACTCTCTGCGGTTGAACTGGGTGTCTGAGGTTCTCTGTCCTCCCCCTCCTCCTCTGTCCTCCTGGCAACGAAGCTCTTTCTGTGTTTAGGCCGATGGTCGTCTTTTGTTCAGGTCAGTGGCCTCTCCTCCAGGTTCTCTCCACCTCCTTCTTTTCAGGACAGTTCTTCCCCTCACAAACATGGATTTGCAGAGGTGTTCCTCTGGTGCTCATTGGCCTGGCCTGGGGCAGGTATTTCTTGGAACCAGGGGATCTTCTGAAGCTTATCACAGGAGCCATCACTGTAGCCCTTTCCCCCTCTACCAAAACTACCCAACCCAACTAATTAGTTTAAGAGACACTGCTTCCCCTCCATTGTCTCGCCTCTAAAAGCTTTTAAGATAAGCAATCCTGAAAGTTTGATAGTACTAATTTTTTGAAGTTCTTACAACAGTTATGAAGTAGTTACTTTGTTATTTTTAATTATGTCTAATTGACTAGAAGGAAATGTTCTGAAAAAGTTATTCTGCATCTGTTTTTTTTTTTAATGCTTTCATAATAATGATATATTCAATGGATCTGATATTGCAAATTAGCATAACCTGTGTTTCTAAATATAGTTTTAGTGACTTTTTGTTTGTTTGCAATTATGAATATTTATTTTTTGAGAGATACTGTTGTTCACCAAGGGGCTAGGAAGGGGGAAATCACAGAGTATGCATAAGTATTAGTATAGCTACTGGCTATAAGAAATAGTTATGATCTGTTAGAGAATTTCTGTACATGTAAGTTGTGCAGTCTTGTTTGAGACACATATTTAATTATCATTAAACACGCATTTTGCAGGTCCATGAGATCTTTGAGTGTCAGGAATGTGACAAGAAATTTATTTCGGCTAACCAACTAAAACGCCATATGATAACTCATTCAGGTAACGTACAAAAATAACATAAACCCATATATATGTGTGTATGTATTTAATGTTTAATGAATTTTAACTGAATTAGTTTCTGATAGAAGGCTTGATGAATTGTGTGTTGTCCTGAGCTGTTCAAGCAAATCTCAGGTTCCAAGGAAACCATCTGAGCTACCCTTTCCAAGCCTTTCAAAAATCCAAGTGTAATGCTATAGTCTTCTTCCTATTGCTGCTTTGTCAAGCTATTTTTTCACACTGGCTGGGGTAAATGATGTCAGTTAGCTGGGATGGGGCAAAAGATGGCCCATGGGATGGGATGGGGCTCTTTGGCTTATAGAAGAGGTGAAGAACTGGTGGTTGAAATTTCGTGTTGAAGAGAAGAGGATGGGAGCTGGGGTATGCTGTCAGATAGAGCTCTGTGATAGAAAGGGAAACATTCATTCGTATATATGTAGTGGACCCATGCGCACATAGTTTCCAGTCAGAGGAAAGCAGGTCATACTCCCCAGCGTTTCACAGCCCACACACAACTGCTTCATTGTGCCTGTCCTCTGCCAGAACAGGCCACTGTGATCAGGGAGTGGCCTGTCCGTAGGTTTAGCAGTATGACATAAATTGGCTTTGCCAGGATTTCTGATCACTGCAACCTAGTGTTTCTAGATCTTTCACCAGTGATCAGAAACATCAAGCAACACAATAGAAACACAAACGTTGTTCTGTCAAACACATTAGTGTTTACAAAATGCAGGTTTTTACAGCTGCACGGGCTTATAATTGAACTATTTTCTTGATATCAGTCTGCACCAAAAGCTTCTTTCTTGTCACATAATCTATATCTCAGAGGCTCCTAGCTTGCTTTTGACACTTTTGGATGAGCATTATGTAGTTAAGTTGCAGTCACCGGTTGAAGCATTAAGGCTTTTTGCATAGGAACTTTTGGTTTTGGAAGCTAATATGTATATTGTTAATTAAGTTTTAAAACATTTAAACTGTCATGCCCTCTTTCACATTTGTAATCTGGAAACAAAGTTTTCCTCTTTGAAGTCATTCTCTTTTGATTTAAGCTAATTAATCAGAATTTAGTTTTAGCAATGATTATTGCAAAGAATGTGCCAATTTCTTGAGATACACCATGGCTCATCTTTTGTGAAGTGACTTAACTGTCTAACATAAAGGGCATTAGATGTCTTTTTAATTGGTTTAATCTTAATTGGGTTGACTTAATTGCAAAAATCTCTCTGAGGAGATGACTGTCTCTGCCTTTCATCTTCTCCCCCTGTATAAACAGGAGATTAAATGTCCCCCCACTCATTTTCTGCAGAAAAACGCCCCTACACCTGCGAGGTTTGCAATAAGTCCTTCAAACGACTTGATCAAGTGACTGCACACAAAATAATACACAGTGAAGATAAACCTTATAAATGCAAGCTTTGTGGAAAGGGATTTGCCCACAGAAATGTTTACAAGAATCACAAGAAGGTAAAGCACTCTGCTGTTGTTGTTTACAGGTCTGCCAGCCTCAGATTTGCAGATTTTTTTTTTTTTTTTTAAAGTGGTTCATCATTAAGCTCTGGCATGCTTATAAACATGGGATTAAAGTATTGAAGAATGTATTTTTTTAGTGTTCTTTGTTATATCCAAAATCTCAAAATACTAAACTAAGTCTAGTTAAAAAAAAAAAAGAAAAAGTGAAATAAGCAGAAGGAAATCACAGTTGCTTGGTTAAAAGCATCAAATAAATCCCAGTTTTGACTTTTCTGGTGTTTTTTCTTTTTTTTTTTTTTTTAATACTAGGTTATCAAGTTAAATTCAACTGATCTAAAGTGTCTTCAAATTTTTGTTTTTTAAAAATACCTTATTTGAATAAAACGAAGTGTAGTCTTGTTGCAGTCATTGTTGGACTTAGTAGCAGATGCTTTCAAACTATACTGGATTTGCATTGGGTAGTGTTCAAACATTAGAACAGCATCAGAGGAGACATTACCTGAAAAACAGGCTCATGAAGGGATGCTCTGCTTCTGTTGATTTAAGCTCAAATCTGCTTGGCCTAATTTCTATAATTCCTGTAATTATTTTTAACCTGGGGTTATATTTTTAATGGCAAGGCTATATCCATGAGTGCTGTTTCAGAATTACAACACTGTAAAAAAGAAAGGGAAAAAAATAATAATAAAAAAATCTGTCTGGTTTTATGTCCAGTGTTTGGAACCCTTTTCTCTTTTTTTTCTTTACATTTCTTTTTAAGTACCACCCCTTTCTTTCCCCATTTTACTGAAACTGATGTTCCCATACTTACAAGTCTTTTGCAGTTTGGCTCATGTTATATGCCATCTGGAAATCTGGCGCAGGATCTTTGTACCATCTCTTGCACTTTAAGCCATAAATCATTTAAGAGTAGTAATAATGCCTCTTGCAGGGTGAAATGGTGGTGACTGCCTAAACCAGAAAGCATGCAGAAGCCTGCTGAAGGACAAGATTAGCTCCCATGTATACTGTGGTTATAGCTGATGTTTTAGACTTTATTAAGAAAATGGAACAGAATCTCACAAATTGGATATATTCTGAGGAAAATGTATAAAATACTCTTTGGAAAGATACTTCTATAATTTAAATGAATACTTTTTACATGTTTCCTTATGTTAATTTGCAGTTGATGACTGGTAGGGAGTTTGGGCTGAAAACGGACTTCAGGATTAAGTATGAACGAGTAAACACTTTGACCCAATTCTGTCTTTAAAGCAGCAGCACCACCAGCATAAGCAAGGATTAGAAGCTCCACTTAATGGGAAAAATACTAAAATTTAGACAGATTTAGTGAGTACCTAATTTTGACAGAATTCCTTAAAGTATGTTGGAATACTTATTTCCTGAACATGTTTGCACATAGTACTGGCTGTAAATCAACCCTGTCCCATAATGAAAGAAACTTATTCCTGTGTTTCCATAAAGTTTACCCAAACAGCTGTGAATATTCACACATCCACATTTAGGTCTCTAATTTCACTTGTTAAGTGAAGGGATGAGCATGAGAGACAGGAGACTGACATGGATGTCCTGAATTGCTTTTTTAGACATGCTTCTCTCCATTGAATAAACAATGTAAACAAGGAGAGGTAGTAGATGAGAGAGGGGAGTATGGAAGTGTATACACAAAACCAATAGTAAGGTTTAAGTTAAGGATATGGTAGTTTGGGATGCCACAATAGTTTTAAATGCTATGATGTTGGGAGGGCTGCACTAATACTGGGGGAAGAGGATGATAGTTCTTTTGCTTCTTCACAGGGATGTTGATCCAGTAACAGTGGAAAGTTAAACCTTTATTGTGTGTCATACATCTGTGTATTTCTTCAGCTCAGATTTTTAATGATTCTTTAGGTTTGTATTCCTTTAAGGCATCCCCCTAGGTTTCATTTTCTTTTGGAGGGAGAAAAATTTGACTCTGAATAATTTCAGTGCTTTTTTGAGTTCTAGGATGCAGTGCTAGTAGCAGGGAGCTTAGACACCTGAGGTACGAATGATGGGTATAGTAGTTAAAATCACCTAATCAACAGCATTTAACAGAAAACATGCTTTCAAGTTTGATAGTGATGTGCTTGAAAAAATTTCTTTGGGTTTTACAGCAGAGCTACATACTTCTTATTTATAGTAAGAAACAGGATACATATACATTTTGTGCCTTTGGATTCTTATTTTATATTTCAGATGGAAACTTGTTGTTGCTGTTGTTTCTGTGATTCCTTTATGGGGGTTATTGAATCTGATTTTGTGATGGAGTATCAAAATAAGCATTACTCCTGCAACATGTACTTTTAAACATCTTTCAGATGTGGGTGAATGTTGGGTCAGTTCAAAGGCGCAGAAGGAGATTAGTTCCTCACATTTCACAGGATTTCACTGGGAGACACACAGTGGAGTTGCTAAGAGTATATCTGCCCTGTTCAGTGGAGCATTGTGATGTGAACCCTAACTTAGTGCTTGTTATGTCCTTACAACTACAGACCTGAGACGCAGGATCTGTTAGACTTCCTGTGGTACCTCTGGTGTGCTGCTTCTCCACACAAGAATGACAATTGCATGTGCAAGCTTGCTTTGTCACTTGCTTGGAGATGTCAGCACTGGGAAGTGTTCTGTGTTGTAAAACTAGCTCAGGTGTCTTGGAAGAGCTCAGACTATATGAGTAAGTGATCCATTTTGTGACAAGGAAAGAGAATAGTATGAAATCAAGAGGCAAATGTAGCATTGGGTTGTGCCACAGATAAGAGTAGTCACCTTTCACTTAGGTTAGATTGGATGAAGGTGCACGTTCTGTGCTAGATAATGCAGATTAGTTCCATATGGGAGAAAGCAAAGTTTTTGTTCCATCTGCTCCTTTGTTGATATGTATAGAGGATGAATTCAGAGAATAAAATATGAGGATATGATAGTGAGCAGAAATAGGTCAGCAGACAACAGGATTTTAAAGGGTTTATGGTTAATCCAGGGTTGTTTGGTCCTAGGGAGCATAATGAATTGAAACAACTGTATTCCCTCAGTTTCTCTATTGGAAGTAAGTAGCCTTGGTCTGGGTTTAAGCCTCCACAAATGCTGTGGTAGGAAAGGCTGCTATGAAGTATTCCATAAGAGCCCATCCTTGGTTGCTTTGATTGTATGGCTGTCCCATGCTCTGAATGGAAGCCATCTCTGATCTGGATAAAAAAAGGACAGTATTAGAACTAATATGCTTGTTTATTAAGATTTGCATGGCTTTTTGTAACAGACCTAGCTTGTTTCTGGACCATTCATAAAAAAGGCAGATGATCTGTATACCCTTGCATGTGTTTATGCCTAGGTAGGAGTGAGAAGTTAAGATGTACAGATGAATACTTGCATTTTGATCAAAAGACTAGTAGAACTGTCAAGGAGATGCTAAGAAAGGAATTCTGTACAAATGGCTGTGCTCTTCAGAACTATCACTCACGTGATGTGTGTTCTAAAACAGGGCATTTTTTTAAAAAAATAAACAACATTAATTTTGCGCTCGTGAAAGGTGCCAGATTGACAGCCCTAGAGACTGAACCCTTCTATTTATCCACAGAACAGGTACAGCACAGACAGCAGCACTGCGAGCTTCCCCACAGTGTCTCGTCAATATGTCTCAACCCTGTTCTGGAGGAACCACCTATTGAGGTGAGAAGGTAGTTCAGTCTCTTCATGTCCTGTCAATCCTTGGCATGACTGCTGACACTGGCGAGCAGCGTGTCAACTAATGCAGACTGTGATGGAAACCTGTAGAAGCTGGGCTGAAACATTCAGCAGATTTTATGTCATGTGTGATATATTCCACACGTTTGATGGTGCTCCACTTGCCTTTTTGCTTTAAGTGACATAGGCTGAGGTCAAGGAATTGACTTTGAATCCCAAGCCTTTGCATACCATTGCAAGTACTCTAATGTTTTGGTACTGTTGTGTATGTAAGAGGACATTTCTGTTAAAACTGGTCTAGATTCAAGGCCCTCAGTCTATATCTAAATAATTAACCTGACTCCCCACAGTCCCTTTTTATTTTTCTCTCTGTAGTTTAAGGATTATCTGTAAATGTCCTATGGCATTATGAACAGCAGAAACAGATTATATAAATGTGTACTGTGCTAATATTTCACCTTAGTCAACAATATTAGCTCATATATCTAATTTTGTGCATATTAAAAAACACTGTCCACCCACCTCCTTTTCCTCTTGGCACAGCAGCGTCTGCTTAAAGTCCTTGTGAGCTAATACAGTGTTTAGTCACTGACGCTTTAAAAACTTGCTTTTCTTTGCAAAAATAGTAGGAAATTGGATAGGTAATAAATTGTACAGATTAATTTACTATCTACAGTGGGACAGCACTTAGTAACACTAGAAAACAGGGAAAGTGGTTTGAAATTTACAAAAGTAGAATGAAGCTGGATGTTTCCCAGGCTCCAGAAAAGAAACCTGCTTCAGCAACTCTGCAGTTGGAGAGATTCACCCAAGCTTAGCCTTTTATTTTATTTATGGCTTTGAGGCTGTTTCTCAGCTACAATGATTTTTTTCTACAGCGAGCAAAAATCTCAGTACTAATGTTTGTGTGGGGTTTTTTTGGTTTTGTTTTTTCTTTTGATACAAGAAGCTGAAATAAGGATATGTAAGACTATTCTCATGATTTGAGAAATTTTCTTTGCCAAATTTTAGATACTATCTTGAAATAATCAGATCAGTATTACTTTCAGACTTACCTCAGAAAAATGGTTTTGTGTACATTTGTTTAATTTTAAAGCATTTATTCATATTAGTATTTAAGGCCAGTGTTAGTACTGATGAAGCAATGCAACTGAGCTTTTTTTCATGCTTATTCTCTATTTTTGTTTCTGTTTACATGCACACCTCATGTAACACTTCTGAGGACTGGGAAGGTACATTTATAAGGTAGCTGCTATGCTGACTTTAAGGATTCTGGATAATGGCCGAGTGATTGTTTTAATTCTTCATCCCCTGGTATTTCAAATTGCTATGATATCCCCTCCTGAATCCAGTCTAGAAAATTAGCTATAATTACTGTAATGACAGCTAATTGATTTCCCTGAGACTTTCCTCTGACATGTTGTCTTTCATCTGCAGACCCATTCTGAAGAGAGGCCGTTCCAGTGCGAGGAATGCAAAGCTTTGTTCCGAACCCCATTCTCTCTGCAAAGACATCTGTTAATCCATAACAGTAAGTGTTAAGTTGGAGAGGAAAATGAACTTCCTCAGTTCTCACATTTGACTGAAAAAAAAAAAAAAAAAACCCAACCCAGACATATGGCACCTTGCTCCATTATGCAACTTGCTATGTTAAATTAGTATTAAGATTCAACTCTAACCCCAGGGAGTTAGAAAATTCAGAGCCATATTCAAACCTTGTCTTTAAATACACTTTAATGCAAATCCAAATATTCTGTAGAAAACCTAGAGATTTCTTTCTGCATTAAGTGTGATAGTGTTACCTCCATTTTAAGAAAGGCAAAATAGAAGCAGAGAGAACTTGGTGGCTTACTCAGCTTTTGTAGGTAATCCTGTTTAGAGCTTGAAACTGAGATTCTCTCTCTTGTGCCAGTCCAGGATAATGCTTCCTGCCTCAGGCATAGAACTAGCAGCCCAGAGGAATGCTGTGGCCATTTTCCCTCATGAGTAGCTTGTTCTTGGCATTCTGTAGTGGTTTTTAACTGACTGTGTAAAGGTTTATTTTTGGTGGAATTTTCTCTGTCTTTAATAGAGCCCTGGACTACCATTCAATCATGTGAATGTCAGCAATTTCGATTTTAGAAAATATTCACGGTCTAAAAACCTTGTAGCTTAGAAGACACTGCTTTGATTTGGGGAATATTTACATTGATATAATTAAAAAACCCCAGAAATCTTTCTTTTTTTTAATCCAGTATAGCAGTGTTTCTGTTAGGTGAATTATTAAAGAACAATTTTTACAATTATCTTTCAAAGCTTCTACAATTTCACAAAGCATTGAGTTTTGTAAAACATTTTCCAATGTTAAGTGTTAAAAATGGTGAGGGGAAAAGGTTAAAAACCTGTATATTTTAGTGAACTAAGCATTTGCAGGATATCCAAAAGCAGTAATTCACAGTACCCAGTATTGTAGGCCTTGGGTAAAGGTCTTTCTAAAAACATATACTTTGACTTTTTTTTCAAACGGGTGGGAGCTCAGATAATTTGAGGTCTTTGTTAGGCTTGTGATTTGTGACAGGTTCAGCTGTTCCTGAACCACTACTATTTAATCAAATATTAAATATTTTGGATTGAACTGTAGTGGCGTAGACATGGTCTAGTTGGTCTTCCTTGGTGCAAAAAGAGGCGTGTCTTGCTGAGCAACAGAGTAGGTGTTTACTCAGCCTTGCTGAGACCACACCTTGAATAGTGTGTCCAGTGTTGGGCCCCTCATTACAAGAAGGACATGGAGGCCCTGGAGCGTGTCCACAGAAGGGCAACGAAGCTGGTGAAGGGGCTGGAGAACAAGTCTGATGAGGAGCAGCTGAGGGAACTGGGGGTGTTTAGAAAAGAAGGCTGAGTGGAGACCTAATTGCTCTCTACAACTGCCTGAAAGGAGGATACAGCGAGGCGGGTGTGTGTCTTTTCTCCCAGGTAACTAGAGACAGAACAAGATGAAATGGCCTCAAGTTGCACCAGGGGAGGTTCAGGTTGGATGTCAGGAAAAATTTCTTCACTGAAAGGGTTCTCAGGCACTGGAACGGGCTGCCCAGGGAGGTGGTTGAGTCGCCATCCCTGGAGATGTTTAAAAGATGGGTAGGTGAGGTGCTCAGAGATCTGGTTTAGTAGTGGACAGGTACGGTTGGACTCGATGATCTCAGAGATCTTTTCCAACCAGGAGATTCTATGATTCTATGAGGGTGATAACTTCTGCCATCTTGGCTAAAACTTGCCTCCAAAATGAGTCAAAGCCTTAAACCAATAATATTTGCTGGTTTTACTAATCAGAGGGAAGATTTTTAAATCTTTTTTTTCTTACTTTGGAGGAAAAAATCCAACAACTGACCAACTTAACAAGGAGGTCTTAGTATAGCAGAATATAAGCCAAGCTTTTATAGTCATAGTGAATCTCTCTTGTCTGTAGTCCTATACAAGGAGTGTTGACAGACCAATAGCAAAGTGAAAAGTGAAAGTCTTTACTAGGATGAACTGAAGAATAAACAGTTTTCAGTTCAAGGCTATGATTAAAACAAGGGGCTCTGCTGTTGTCTGAGAAGAGTTTGTGTTCCTAGTGAAGAAATGTAGAAAGAACTCCTCTCTTCATGACCTGAGACTGACAAGTTGTGCTGCCATGATAATGAGTTTCTCATATTTGAAATAACTCAGAATTACATTGTCTTGCTACAGCTAGATGATAGTCCCTCTAATAGTACTGAAATATACCTGTTGCTGTAAAGAAAGGAGAGAAACAAAACAGAATCTCTAGATGTATTTATCTGACTTTATTGTTCTGTGCTGTAGGAAAGAAAAAAGTGTTTGTGAAGCTTGAAACTTCTAGGAAAAAATTGAAGTTCAGCCTACATCTTATATTCATTTAAATTCAGTATCCCATTGTTGTTTTAGAAGCAGGCACTCTGCGGAATGCTGTAGAATGTCTTAAATTTCATTTTGCAAATTTAATTTACAGGGAAAAATTATATTTCATAAACTCACTTCTCGGGTGTTTCTGTCTTGAAATTGGCAAAGGTGTCACGGATATAATTTTCAAAATTCAAGATGAAATCTCTCTGTCTAACGAATAATAATAATTTAAAAAAAAAAATCTAAACTTTTTTTTCTCTCCCAGGTTCTAGCTGTGTAAATATACCTTATCTTCTGAGAGTCAGGCAAGCTTTTTCTCTCTGGCATGCTACTGATAATACTTTTAGTATCTGTGTTCTTACTATGTCACTGGCAGTGCTGGAGCTACCACTTTATTCGCAGCTGTAGTGTTTAAGAAGGATGTATGATACGTGATAGCTGTAGCTCACAGTGGCTCATGAGGCTGGTAGAGACCTGGCTAACAAGAATGAGTAACCCATAAGCATTTTCATATGGATCACACAGTTGTCTAGGATTGTGGTGACATGCACTGAACAGCACTGCATCTGCTGAGAAGTCCATCATCCTTTATATTTGCTTTCCAAACTACAAATCTACATGCAGAATGTTTCTTAGTAAGAGAAATACTAATTAGCCCCTTCTACAGAAGTCAGCAGAAGTGGGCACTTCATCCAGCATAACATTTGAAAAATACCCAATTCTAGGCTTCTCATTGCTTTGCATGTTGAAAAAATTTGCCAACCTGAAGGAGAACTTGGCTAAATACATACTTGGCATTGAAACTGTACGTATCTGAAGACCATTGTAACATGTATACACAGAGGAGATATGGTGGAACAGTATGTTAGTTCTGAGATTTGCTGACTTTGGGGTTTTTTTTTTAATGAAAACTGGTTGATCTTTTACTACCTTATTATTTTTATTGTTATTTGAAAGTAATTTATCTTTTCAAATAATAATAGAAGCACAGTACTGAAATTGATAGGAATGACTGCAAACAAAACTTCAGGATAAAAAGGATAAATCCTCCTGAAGCTCAACAAATGTCATATCTTTTAAAATAAGTTACTTGACTATTTTTCCTTTGTTGAAGCAGTAGAAAAGTGCATGTTACTTTAGTAAAAATAGTAATGACTTCTTTTTGTTAGCAGTGTAGTCTCATGTTCCCAAGATGAGGACTGAAGTGATTCACTGAACAGTTAGAAGCTGTATCAGTGTTAAACCTCCATATAAGAGCATATTAAATTGCATCCCTGTTGACCTTGGAAATTTTCTCAATAGCTACACTGAAAGTATTTTAGGATAAGACAACTTACACTTTAATACCTTTTAGCATATTTAGTGTCATCCAAGACAAAACTGCTTTTGTTTCCGAGCCAACAGAGAGGGTTGGGGAGGGGCGGGGGGATAGTTGTGGTTGATTTACGAGGAGAGAAACAGGTTATCTAGGCTTTGGAATGCCTGTGGATACTTGAGGCACCACTGTATTGATAAACTTCACTTATATATATTACATATATAATGTATAATGAATAAAAAAAGGTTTTTGGTGCTTCAACATGTAGCATCAAATGGGCTTTAATAAGCAGTGTACTACAATCAATTTCCATTAATATTGGCCTTGCACTGGGACCAAGGCTGGGATGATTTTATCCTTTAATAAGCTATAGCAAGGAAAGAAGAATACCTCTGTAAGTGCTACTGGAAAAAAGCAGCTTGTGCTTATTAACGTCTGCATCTTATTTATGTGGATCAGAAGACTGTGGAACAGACTTCTGTCCTGAAAAAAAAAAAGAAGTGGGGGAGAGTCTTTAGATGATGGTGGTCTTTCTTTGTGATGTAACCGCTTTTTTTGGTGTATGGGCACCTGATTTCCAGTTTATACTGTGGATTCCCAAATGAAAACCATGTTGCAGATATATAACTTCTAATTAAGAAGTTAACAAATAGGAGAGAGAGGTTCATTGTAATGATTTATCTGAAGGATCACGTCTTTTTTTTTTTTTCTCTCTCGAAAGATGGATGCAGATTTTCAGAATACAGTGTATTCCTTGTTTTGAGAATTCATTTAAAATCAGGAGGATGTCTCTTACCATTTAAATTTCAAAAGATGAAGCCTATTTTATCTTTTTGCTTGTTGCTATAAAGAGAGTCTTGTTACTGGAGGTGCTGTTAAAACCTGTGCTTCATTTCACTGGAAGCCATTTCCACTGGTTGCCGTTTCACTTTTGCCTATAGAGTTGAATCTCACATTTCTGGCTATGTTGCTGTCATGTGTACTTTATTAATTTCCCCATGAAATTTTAACCTGATGTTTCTTTTCTCTCTGTTCTCAGGACCCAGCTTCTCATTTGTCTTTGCTGTTTTTATTCATTTTTCTGAAACAATAAGCATTAGTATATTTCCACAAAAATCTGGTACCTTTAAACCTTGTTTTTCTCTTTATAAGGTGAGAGAACCTTCAAGTGTGATCATTGTGATGCTACTTTCAAAAGAAAGGACACATTAAATGTTCATATTCAAGTTGTACATGATGGACATAAGAAATACAAGTGTGATCTCTGTGACAAAGCTTTTGTGACACCCTCAGTCCTGAAGAGTCATAAAAAAGTGAGTAGAATCAGTTCTATTGTATATTCATTCCTTCTGTGTCTGTAAGGTTGTGACTAAACATAAAATCCCCTGAGGCTTCTGCATTTCTGGCTTTTCAGTAGACAGCTGTGGTGGTGCTTAGCATCCTAAAATGCTTATTGCAATGGTGGGATTATTGGTGGTGTGCAGAATCTGCAGCAGGTGCATGTGTATAAATCCAGTGTAGGTACTCCAGCATCAGGTGTGTGGCAGGATGGGACTTGCTGTACTGCTCTTGCCGTACCCTTTTCCACCAATCTCTGCGATGGAATTGAGATAAACTTTAGAAGAAAGCTTGCTCGCTAGTTTAGCCAGAGGTAAGATTTACATTACAGGGAAGGAATGTGAAGAAAATTATTGAATAAAGATTGAATCTGCTGAGGAAAATCATCTTGAGTGTTGCCACCAAATGCCAACTGTGAGAGTTTGTTGGAAAACATCATGCCTATATTATGTGCTATATAGTATACACTCCATATATGCGTGTAAAATTGTAATAACAAAACTGAGTGTAACCAAGTTAGTTGGTACAGTATTTTCAACACATGATTATTGTGAGTGCTGTGCATTATAACACAAAATTTATATCTAAAATTGAGGGAAAAAATGTGAAGGAGTCTGTCAATGTCTCACCAACCCTACCATGTCTTACAGGTGTGGGAACTAGTACATGACTTTGGAGCCTAAACCAAGTTGTTGGCAGATAGCAAACTATTGAGTTCTCTCATGTAATGGATGGCACTGCCTCCTTAATTTGTGTTTGATTTTTAACCTGTCTGCAGATTGCAAAAATTAATGGAACCAACTAGGAACAAAGTCTTTTTGGTTTCTTTTGTGCTCTTTTAAAGGTCTTAATCTTCCATTAAATGTATGTTAATGCATTTGCTGTCTCTTTGCCTTCAGTCTGTTTTAATGCTGCTTGTCTCATATTTAATATACATTAAGTTACTTAGTAACTATAGTTGCTGGAAAATAAAATTTCCTGTGTTTGAGTGACATAGCTGTGTAACCACGATGTATTTCTTCCACGTACGCTTAGTGGGAGATTTTTACCTGTACTTAAAAACTAGAATGACATGAGGTTGCCTTGTTTGTGGACTTCAGATCATGTACTGTAAGATGATTGAGATTCAAATAACCTGGTTCCTCAGTTGTTGTGCAACCTGTGAAATCAGTTGAATTTTACTGTAATAGAGAGAGAACTTGATATTATAGGATATTCTTCCTCTCTTCTCTTAGATGACTTTTAGAATAAGGAGTATTAAAGCACATTTGTTTTTCAAGCCTGAATATATTGGTCTAAGGAACTCAAAAATAAAGGGTATACAAAATAAAATTGCAGTTTTTTTCTAATTGTTTTCTTGGAGAGAAAGACTTTCGGGTGTCTTTGGGTATACTTTAGGGTATGATGTCTTTGATTAGACAAACTGATTTGTTTAGAAAAAACAGACTGCTTTTCAGGCACACAATCCTTTTCATCCTTATCTACTTGTTTTAATTACTTCAGTAACAAACCTAGCCTACAATACTGATACGTTGATTTCAGATTAACTTTTTGTGAAGAATCTTGCCAAGATGGATTGTAAGATACAAAAATCAAAAAAATTACCTAGAATTATTGATGAGTTCTGCATACATTTTTAAAATTTTCCTCAGATTCTGTTCTAAAAAATTCAGTATGACTTACTATTTCACATTAAAAATGGTCATATACATATATGTATTTCTATTTTAATGGAGAACAGCTACCATTTATCATATATCCCTGTTCTTTCTTTGACATTCCTTTTTAATTGTAATTGTTATTGCTTTGTGCTGCTGTCTGACTAGGACTAGCTGTAAGTTTGTGGGCACTGTAGCTGTAATGTTCTTGGAAATTTTATTTTTTGATTGTTTGGAATGAATTATCTGTCTGGCATCCCCCAATATTACTGTTTAAAGATAAAAGTGATTTCTAAAGAACTCCAGGCTAATAAGAAGTTTAACATTCATAGTCCTAATGTCAGGGAATGAAACCTATGCAAGTCTGTCCAGTATTGAAATGATATCTTCATATTCGCTCTTCCTTTAGCTGCAGCATGATATGTATTATGTAAGATAAGGTTTTTATGATGTAATGAAGAATTTTATGTCACTTTAATGTCTTTCATAAAAATAAGAATTAATTTCCCTATCTGAAGAGTCATGTGCAAAGCTTGAAACCCAAATAGTCAACTGCATGTATAATTTAATGTGTTAACTTTCCTATCCCATTTAAAGTCAGTTAACACTTATAAATGAAGTAGTCCAAAATTCTCCACTAGAAGAGCAGTCACAGTAACAAAGAAATATTATTCAGTAGACTGATAAATCCTCAGTTCAGAATTGAGTGTTGTTGAAAGTACAGTGTGAAAAATGAGAATGCATGTTTGTAACTTACTGTGAGGTGGTCTTGCTGTTGGCCACACAGGTTGGATGGGAGAGTTTGGTTTTTTTGTTTGTTTTTTAATATTGAAATGATTATTCTTATATTAGCAAGGCTCTCTAGCCTTAAGAGTTTGATTTTTGAAAGACAAGTTCAGTGCATGATTTAGTGTTAGAGACAATTACAATATACTTCCCATGATCTATTCCCTAAATGAAATCTGACTGTAGCATTTATTGCAAACTAGATAGGATCCAGCATGCAATTTGTGTTGACTGAAATCACTGAGAACTTGCTCTTTGGAGGGTTGTTGTCTGTTGTACCTCAGGTGAACTATGAGACAATCAGTCAGAAATCATATGCACAAATCTCCATAGAGACCTTTTAAAGCTTCAGTTCAAGTTTGCAGCAGGAAAAATTATACTAGGTTAGGTAAACTATTTTTCACTACATTTAATAAAATAATAAAATTCTGTGAAATTATAAGCTTTTAAAAATACTCATTTATTAAGATTAATTTTATTAGGTAACCAAATGATTGTTTGCTAGTTTAGAAACTACTGTCACACATATCAAACTGAAAAATAGGTTCTTATTCTTGCAATCATAAAAATGCCCAAAGGTGAATTGGGTATTTTTAATAGTAACTATTTATGAAATAGTAAACTTAAGAACTGAAAAGCCAGTTTATTTTGCCTTTAATAATGAGATTTGTTTAGACATTTTAGAAGAAAATTGAAAGAACACCTATAGCTAATTCCTTGGAAGCTCTGCATGATGTGCTGGTATAAAATATGTAATGAAGACAATAGTGGTCAGTGTCAATACAGTTAAAATATTCCATATTTCACTTCT